TGAACCCAGGCCACCTCTCAGTGACCGAACAGACTGGCACACGGTGCCGGGGGCTGCCCTCCACCAGGAGCTCCTAGAGACGGTGGGACAAACGTGGAGCAAGCTCGGTCATAAGGGAGGCCAGGCTTACCGGTCTAAATAGGACCGGTAACCCCCCACGTGCGAGACAGTGGCCCGAGTCACCCTTCAGATCTGGTACAGAACTCCCCTCTACAAACAGAAAGTCAGCACAGCACGTGGGCCCTCACGGGAAGCAGATCCTGCACAGGGAGCTCGGGAGGGCGCGGGGTCTGCTCGGGGTCTGGCAGGGAAGGAGCTGAAACTACCTACCTGCTCTGTAAGCCTTCACGGAAGCCACAATGAAAAGTTACAAACAAGAGCAAAGAAATCCACCTACGTGAGACCCAAAGGTCAACAAATACGCTTGGGGGAGGGGGAAGGAAACTAGAGTGCAGGAAATAGAACAACCAGACTGCAATTAATGAGTCTGCTGACACCTGGTGGAAAAGACCAGTGAACAACTCATATGCAAACTAGGCAAAGGGGACCCCAGTTCTTGCATGGATAATGTAATAAAATATTATCATTATTTATCTACTGTATCTTAAGTCAATCACCATTCCAGACACACAACAAGGGAGGCAAAGAAATTCCTGCTTCTAGCCTTCTCAGGACCCCAGGAAATCACATCCGCACCAGTGTGAACCCCCCAACCACTCTGCAAGGGTCTCCTCACAACCTTACAGGGCAGCGTGGAGCCCCCGGGGCTTCTGAGGCTGTCAATCTTTACAGGAACAGATAACCTCATATTTCTCCCTCTGGGGTAAGGGAGGGTTTCGAACAGCCAGCCTTTTGGTTAGCAGACCAAAGCTTACAGATCAGTCACGAGGTACTCACCAGGGGCACCCAGTAGGTATAGAGCGCGCCGAGTCTCATTTCTGGAACAAACTGGGAGCAGGCGAGAAGTAGGAAGTAGAGGTTGAAGAAGTACTTGAACTGGTTGAAGAGCACCTGGGATACAGAGAGAGGGAGAGAGAAGGGAGACGTTACACGCAGGGCTTTGCAGGTACAGCGAGCTGAGGGAGAAGGGAAAAGTCACATGTGCCAAGTCTAAAACATAGGGAAGGGCGGGGCCTAGGGAAAAAAATCCGAAAACAAAAGAAGCAGCAAGGCATGTGGGTGTTATCAGTGATTGTGGAGCCCTACTGGCAGGAGGGGGGAGGGAGGGTCCCCTGGGAGCAGGCACCACCTCAGCCTGTGTATAATCTGAAAGTGCCAGGCAGAACACAAAGCCCATTTGGACAATTCCAGCCCAGGGCAACAAGGCAGACCGGCCCCACGGGTTTCCTGGGCTGAATAATCTTGAGGGGAGCAGAGGTCGCCTTCTTTCCCTCGCAGTGGTTGGTGGGTTCAAACCACTGGCCTTTAGTCAGCAGCCCTGTGCTTAGCGACCGCACCGACAGGGCTGCTCCTGGAAGCACAGGTAAACCAAAGCCAAAATCAAACCACAAATCCACCGCTGTCAAGTCGATTCCGACTCGGAGCTACGGTGCAAGGCGGAGTGCAGCTGCCCCCGGGAGCTTCTAAAGCTGTGGATCTTTGTGGGAGCTAAGGACCTCCTCGTTCTCTGGTGGGTTTTGAACTGCCAGCCTTTTGGTTAGTAGCCAAAGGCTCATAGTTAAGCCTTTTAAAAATGCTGTCTAAGGAAGATGTTTCAATAAGAAATGCTTATGGTGTAAGACTGAATCAAAATATTACAAGATGGACAGTTATGCCCACAGTGTGACTGACTTCAAAGCCATGGTGGCTAGCCTTGATCCATGGGCAGTGCTGCGTCTCCTCCAGGCTAAGGCAGGGCAGAGGTAGGGTCCTGGGTGCCTTGCTCCTGCCCTGTCATGGGGAGAGTTTGGTGGCTGTGGCAGTTACGTCATAGCATGTCAACTTCAAGATCTATAAAAGGGTAGGGGTAGGGTTTAGCCTGATAGTGAGTCCTTGTAGGTGTGGCCTTCCCATAATGAGAACACTGGGCACTCCCTCGCCCCCATCCCCTGCCACCTTCACCTCCCTGCTGGCTGGCCCTGGTTGCTGCCAGAGCGCTGTGATGCTGCCACAACCATTGGATCCACAGGACTCCGCACCCACTGGCTGTGATCTCCCTGAATCTGCATCATTGCCTGTGGCTGCGTGAGTCTGAAGAGGGACTTACGGACTAGGATCAGACTTATGGACTTGATCTGGAGTGGACTAGGATGTTTCCTTGATATGTAATTATTTCTTGATATAAAGGGCTCTCTTACACATACATGAGTGTCACTGAATTTGTTTTTCTAGTCAATCCAGCCTAAATCAGTGACCCAGGGCTCCAGATGACACGGCTTTAAGATCTGAGACTCAGGTCCACAGATCCGGCCGACTTCTCCCCCCACCACCTGACTCGCACTACGGCCAACAATGAGCGCACCTTCATCGCCGTCAAGCTAGAGGGGCGTGCAGCGCGGCCCGGTGGGCGACATCAAGTGCTTTGAGCAGAAGGGCTTCCATCTGGTGGGCATGAAGTTAGTTCAGGCCTCTGAGGAACAGCGGAAGCAGCACTCCATTGCCCTGAAAGACCGCCCCTTCTTCCCAGGGCTGGTGAAGCACATGAATTAGGGACCATTGTGGCCATGGTCTGGGAGGGGCTGAATGTGGTGGAGATGGGCGGGTGGTGCTGGGAGAGACCAACCCAGCAGATTCTAAGCCAGCCACCATCCGAGGGGACTTCTGTATTCACGTTGGCAGGAACATCATTCAGGGCAGTGATTCGGTCAAGAGCGCCGAGAAAGAAATCGGCCTCTGGTTCAAGCCGGAGGAATTGGTGGCCTACACATCTTCTGGCTATGACTGGACAGGACAGAGCAGTCCCGTCAGCACTGTGCCTGTCCTCTGGACAGCTCTTCTTCTGGGGTTGGAAGCAATAGGATTGATGTCCTGTCTCCTTCCAAAGCACACTGACCCATAAAATAAAGTCTTTGGAGACTGGGGGGGGGAAAAAAAAAAGAACTGAGACTCTAAATCTCAGATACTGAGATTTGGGAAGCCAGAGATGGTAAGATTTAAAACCACCCTTAAAATAAAACTCTAAATGGATCCAAAGCTGTTGGAGTGAGGTGCTTGCTGACTCGGTCCCAACAAAAGAATGACACACGGCCGGGTCCTGCCTGTATCGGCCTCACCATCACCGCTGTGTCTGAGCCCACTGTTGCAGGCCCTGTGTCTATCCAGCTCACTGACGGGCTGACCTCCGTCACCAGGGCGACGACCTTCTCCAGGGACTGGACCGGTCTGATAACGAGCCCAAAGAACATGAAATGAAGCCTCGCCCTTCTCACTTCTAAGGAGCGTGCTGGCTGTGGTTCCTCCAAAAACAGACGGGCTCTGTTGTTCTGGCAGTTCACGGCACTTCCCATCTTCTTCACCAATACCGAGATCCAAAGAAAGCAGCCGTTCTTCCTCCAGCAGAATCTTCCTGATTCTTCTCGAGCCGGCTTTTGCTTGCACATGAAGTGACGAACAATAGCAGGGCTTGGGCCAGGCCTACCTCAAGGTGACATGTTTGCTTAGTCTATAGTGCATCTGTGTGTCTGCTAACACTGTCTTTCCGGGCCTGCGCCCCCTTACACACACACACACACACCACACCACACACACAAACACATACCACACACACACACACACACACACACACACACCACACCACACCACACCACACCACACCACACACACTTGCAGCACTGGAAACAGTGGCTGCTGCTGCTCCAAAGGCTGAGACTGAGCTGGATAAAACAGGGATTTAATTTTGTGCTCGTGTGCCAGACGGTTGCTAGGAACAGGTACCTGAAAGGGTGTACCTGAACGTGGGAACCCTGTAAGCCAGACTAAAATCATAATCAAATCAACGGCAACTCACAAACACGTTAGTAACAATTCCCTCTCCAGGTGGCAGGATTAAAATGTATCTCCTCCTTCCCTTAACTCCCAGCTTCTCCTTATTCAACATGTTACGAAGTGATGAGAGATAAAAACTCTAAGCATGACTTGTCTTTTTTTTCCTCTTTTTGGTTTTAGATATAATGCTAAAGGAACCTGGTGGCACAACGGATTTGGTGTGTGACCGCTAACTCAAAGGCCGACCGTTCAAACCCACCGGCCACTCTGCTCCCCAAGAGATCTAGGGCCTCAGAAAGCGCACTTTGTCCTGCGGGGTCCCAGGGAGTCCGAATCGCCATGACTGCGGTGGGGAAAGAGGCAATGTTTGCTTCCCCAACTGCTTTTTCTCTCCAGGTAGACAGATCAATGTGAGCTGGCCAGGGGGAGCCTGCGGGCTTGCCGCATGACGCAGCCCTGGCACGTGCTCAGGAAAGGCAGAGGCCGCCGGTGACGAAGGAGGCACCAAGAAAACCCAGCCGGGCACTTGCCAAACAGCCGCGACGAGGCCTTCATCAGAAGGGGCTTCATCCCCTTATCTTTTCATCCCATGTCCCCCACCTCACACATTCGAGAATGGGAAGAAAAAGAGGGCCTGGTCCCCGCCTATACTTACCCCAGGGAGGAAAGTGAAGAAGTTGTACTTCTGGTTATTGATGACATTTCGAGGGTACCTCTGGTCCCTCTTCTCAGGGTGCCCCAGCCAGACGGTGCGGGGCCTGGGCTCCCCTCCACCACAGCATCTAAGCCACTCGCAGCACCTGCCGGAGAGACACGCCCACAGTCAAGGCCACGCCTGCAGGACAGAAGCCACGCCCAGTGTCGGCCACGCCCACAAGGAGGTCATGCTCTCGGTGCTGAGACCAGGACCCCACATCCACTCTTTCTTCCCACAATGCACGAAACATGGGTGTTTTGCTTTAAGTTGTCTTCACTGGGGGTGGGGGTGGGGGTGTTGTATCTGAGGCTGTCTAATTAAAAGATGCTTTTAAAAAGTGGGATTCATCTGGAAAGACCAAGAAGAGCTAAGCTTGAGCAGGTAAATACACAGCCAGTACTAATTAGCTCAACTGTGTCCCAATGAGCAGGGGCAGGCAGCCCTGTGCCGGTGAAATAGGAAACCCTCCCTCTATCCGCCAGTGGCTGCATGGCACAGCACGGCCCAGGCTGCTGGCTGCACCCAAGGACCCTCACAGGAGAAGGGACCCACATCCCTCAGCCCCGATCATCCTGTCAGCGCACAGCGGGCTGGAAAAATGGGGTCACCGAGTTGATTTGAGCTTGAGGTACAGATGGACCACTGTGACTGACCCCCAGGGCCCGCTGTCCTGAAAGGCAGTTCGCTCTCAGACACCCACCTTCCTGCATGCCCGTCCTCCTGGTCACCTGGGGAGCTGGCCTGCTCAGGCTAAACAGCTGCTCGGAGAAGCGTTCCCCAAAAAGGCAGCTTGGACTTTGGTGCGACATACACACGTGTAAACAGGAGGAATTACGATCCTCACAGCACCGCAATGGGAAGACCCTCACCTGAATGACCCACTGTCAACAACCCCCACCAACCACCCCACGGCACACAGGGCAGGGTGATAAACCCATCCACCAGCCCCTTGTGTCTGCCAGCTGAAGTGACAACAAGCAGACTGGCAATGAGGACTTACATAACTGTTGTCCACTGAGGACCCTCCTTGTCCCCTTCCTCCTACAGGCCAGGCCCCAGGTGGAGTGCGCGGTATAGAGCCAGGAGTCCCCTGCCAGCCTGCCCGGCCAGCAAGGGCCCTGGGCATCAGCAACCGAAAGATGGGTGAGCCTGCAAGCAGCCTGCTCCCGCCGCTCAAAAGTTCCGTGAGGAGACGCAATTGCTCTTTCTTAAAAATAGCATCCTTATTCCAGTAAAAGGTGCCTGACAGGGCAGGTTTCACTTCTAGTAACCCATTCCAGCCAGTCACTGTCCACACCGTGCCAAGACTGGTGGCACACGGAGCCCCGCCCCACCCCACCCCTGCTTCCTGGGCCACTCAAGTGTGAGGTGGAAACGTAGGTAGGAGCGAAACGGAAGAAGCAAAAATCAGAAGGGAGGGGAGGAGGGAGGAAGAGGAGGAGACAGGGAGAGGGGTAGGCACAGAAAGAAGGGAGGGAGGGCTTATTTGTAAGAACACACCATTCTATTTGCAGAAATCAAATTCTCTCCCATCCAATCACCAGCTTGTAATGATGGCTCGTGTGTTTTCTCTCTCTCTCACCACTGTATTCTTTCCAACACAACAATCCACTGCCCTCGAGTCAGCTCCGACTCACAGTGACCCTCTATAGATTTCCCAAGACTGTAAATCTTTATGGGAGCAACCAGCCTCGCCTTTGCCCCTCAGAGCAGATGGTGGGTTTGAACTACTGGCTTTGTGACTAGCAGACCAAAACTTACCCGCCAGCGCCAATGGTAAATGTAGTTAAGAGAATGATACAGGCAGGTTGGTTGTATATATGATTTTCCCTGTTTTGTTTTTAGCAGAAGGTTCCACACATCAAGATATCAGGCTAAGCTAGCCAGTCAGGGCTGTGGCAGCAAGGAAGAGCAGGGCTAAAGAAACCTCATACCATCTAAGAAATGAAATACCCGGCTGCCTATAAAGGGCGAGGTGGAGCATCTGGGTCTGAGGTAATATTCCACAAAATGCCAAGGGGGCCTGGGTTTCAATAGCTGTGACCTTTCAGACACAGGTTGCTCTCCTTCCTTGAGAATCCCCTTGGTGGATTTGAACTGCCAGCCTTTTAGTTATCCCAAGGTGCTTACCCACTGACATGACCCAGGACTCCACTGTGTGGCCTTCAGTATGACTGAAGGTCAAATATACCTGGGGCCCTGGTGGTGCAGGGGTTATGCATTGAGCTGCTAACTGCAAGGTCAGCAGTTTGAAACCAACGGCCACTCCAAGAGAAAAAGAGGAGGTCTTCTACTCTTGTAACGAGTTCCAGCCTCAGAAACTCAGAGGCAGGTCTACCCTGTCCTATAGGGTCTCTATGAGTCGGAATTGATTGGATAGCACTGAGAAGGTCAAATATACCAAGAGCTAGACACTAATACCATTAGTATTTCATTCCAAATAATTACCAACCTCTTTCCCAGTGTTCAAACTCTGATTTTGGAATTGTCTTCTAAGAAGCAAAGACCAGAGACTCATTAAAACAAACAAGCAAATGTTTTTTCTTCATATTATGCTCAACAAGTATTTACTAATTATTAATACCTAATAAATATTACTAAATGCCCAATTCGAATCCCTGCACTAAACTCTTAGGGACACGTTAATGAGCAAGAGAAAGCCATTGTTCTTAGACCTCCAGGAGCTTCAAGAGAAAACCAACATTAAAAATAATTGTGCTCCAGCCTAATAAATAAAAGTATAACATAAATGTTTGAGTATAGATGTCTTACACCAAATAAATGCCATATGGTCTAAAAACAAAACAAAACCAGAGGCTGAGTCTAGATCTCAAGGTCTCAAAATGAGCTGTGTACAACCATGTTCACAGCAACACTGCTCCCAAAGCCAAAAAACTCAAACCAAACACTGCCATCCAGTCGGTTCCAATTCACAGCGACCCTATAGGACAAAGTAGAACTGCTCCTGTGGGTTTTCAAGCCTGTAAATCTTTACATGAGCAGAAAGCCTTGTTTTTCTCCCATAAAGTGGTTGGTGGTTTCGAACTGCTGACCTTGTGCTAATCCACTACAACACCAGGGCTCTTAGATGGAAAGAAGCATCACGTGCCCACCAACAAATGGATCAACCAAATGAGGTATCAACGTACAACGGACTATTACCCAGGCAGAGAGAAAATGGAGTTCGGATTTAAGGGTGCTCTGACCAGACAGTGGAAAAATTCAATTGTTTTCTCATTCCATTTTTCCCAACAAACTTTTTGAAGCCCCGATACACTATGACAGCGGTTCTCAACCTGTGGGTCGTGACCTCTTTGGGGGTCGAATGGCCCTTTTACAGGGGTCGCCCGATTCATCACAGTAGCAAAATGACAGTGATGAAGTAGCAATGAAAATGATTATATGGTTGGGGGATCACCAGCACATGAGGAGCTGTATGAAAGGGTCGCGGCATGAGGAAGGTTGAGAACCACATGAATCAACCTTGAAAAAAACATGCTGTTCAATGAAAGCATCAGACCTCGGAGGATAAATGAAATAGAAACGAAGTTCACATGCGGGAAAGGGGCCCCAGTGAGAGAAGGGAGGCAGGCCCAGTGTCCATGTGAGGCACTAAGAACACTTGGAAATGAACTGTTAATGACAGTGACCCACCTGGGTGAACGTCATGAACATCACTGAATTATAGGTGGGGTTCATAAGAAACATCACCCAAAGATCCTGAGATCGAACACAATCCCAGTCATCCTCCGTCTCTCTGATGGGCGCTCCAGACCACAGCTAACCCAGCAGGTGATGCTACTCACCTGGAAACAGCAACTGATCTGGTGGAGAAGGGCTGGAGTCTGCGGTACAGTGACACCCCGCTCGCTGAACCCAATTCATTCCAAATCCACATTTGAACACTGCAAAGCTCCCCACAAGGAATCGTGGAAAAGCGAATAATTGCTTCTAAGGTCCCCAAATTACACTTAAAAATTCATTTTTCCAGGGCTTTAAAACACTAAGGAGGCATTTCGCCTTCTCACATATCACTGTCTTGTATACACTATCGCCATGAAGTTATTTCTATCCAAATTAACAGCCATTTTTCAACCTCTTCAGTGGTCTGGGTTCTTTGTTTAGTGGTTAGCAATTTCGCACCTCTTGATACACCTTCGCTGCTTTAATCACATTTCTCCCCTCCAAAGTGTTGGCAATGTCAACTCAACCACGTTGAATTCAGCCCCCAAATCTGACTCAAATTTCACAATGATTTCTCTCATGCTTTGGGGCCACCGCTACAACATTTCACGCAAATAAAACTGGGGGGGGGGGTGAGGGGAGGACAAGGGGCAGAAGCACAAGTTGTTGTTTGTTTTTGTTTTCATTTTAAAGAGCTTGATTACAGGTTGTTAATATTCATGAACATTTCAGAGCACCTTAGACTTCTATTAAGATTTTTGGTAACAGGTCTTTAAATTTTGCATGATGGTTCTTTTTCTCCTGATTCCCAGGCAAGAGTACTGTAGTGTGTTGTTCAACAGATGTGAATTTGATTGAAGAGTTTATCCTTAATCACCTGAGACATCAATCCATGGTTGGTTCTTTTTTTTTTTCCTCCATGGGTGGTTCTATGGTAGTTTTATAACTGTCCCTTGTAGCTTTGGCAAGTTTGTCTTCTGAAACACATGAAACTCCCTCGAATGGCGAATGTTTTCAGGCACCGATGACACACGCACTATCTGTTGTCTGAGCAAGAGCGGCGCTTTGACTGAATGGCAACAATCTTCGCACATACTGGTCAGTGCCATCGAATGTGGATCACAAGTCCTCCAACTGTCGCCATTAACCGCTCTGGAAATTTTCATCACCCTTCCTCAATCTTCTTTGAGCCCCATTGTTTCCTTTTGTACCAAAGGACAATAGGAAAGCCTGCCTTGACTAATTAGTATGAGGACTAGCGGTTTAAGTGTCTACAAAAGCCCTACCTGGAGAACGTAGCATCAGGATCAGAAAAAGGCTTAAGAACAACCTGCGAAATGTAGAGGGCACATCGATGCTCGCTATAAAGCAGAGGCCTCGTAGCAATGCGTGATGATGAAGATCAGAATGGATGACAAC